GCACTGACGGCTCTCTGATTCCTGACCGTCGGTACAGTGTAACCAGCTGCCTAAAGTTCTTGCTGCCATTACTTCTCCACCATGATGGCTGTATCCTTGAACTATGAGCCAAAATACATTCTTTCTCCCAAGATGCTTTTGCTGAGTGTCTTCTTTTCCCTCTCATAATTACAATCTGACAACAGTTTCTCCTCCTTCTCTTCTTCACTATCTCTATCCCACCAGCTCCCTTCTCCCCCAGATTCACTTGTTAGTGCCTCCCCTTATCAAAGAGCAAGCCTCCCAGGGACATCAAGCAAACATGGCCTAGCAAGCAACAAGACCAGGCACATACCAAAACATCAAGGCTGGACAAGGCAACCCAGCAGGACGATAAGGGTCTCACAAGTAGGCAAAAGAGTACGGGATGGTTCCCAGTGTTATGCTGTGTATCTTATTAGAGCAACACGAAAACTAACTAATATAAAAGGTTTGTCAAGTTTATGTCTTCTATCCATAACTTCCTCCTAATCTCCAGAATTATGTACACAACTGCCAGCTAGACATTTCCTAGAATATATCTACACGTCTATCTATCTATCTATCTATCTATCTATCTATCTATCTATCTATCTATCTATCTATCTATCTATCTATATTTTATATATATAAAACAAATGTTCAAAATAGAATTTTTGGTTTTCTCCTTCAAACCTACTCTATCTATAGGTCTTTCATAGAATCCTACTACTTATTATATTCTCAAGACCACATTCATGTGTATAACAGATTATCATAATAGACTTTCAATTGTTTTTCTTATTTCTTTTTATTTTAATTTTTTATTTATTACAATTTATTCAATTCATATATACAATTTATATATGTACAATATATACAATTGGGATACAAATTATTTGTATCCCAGCTCTAGTCCCCTACCTCTCCCCCTCCCAATCCCACCTTCCCTCTCTCTTCTCCTCCCATGCCCCTTCCCCAGTCCACTGATAGGGGAGGTCCTCCTCCCCTTCCATCTGACCCTAGCCTATCAGGTCTCATCAGGACTGGCTGCATTGTCTTCCTTTGTGACCTGGTAAGACTGCTCCCTCTTCAGAGAAAGTGATCAAAGAGCCAGCCACTGAATTCATGTCAGTGACAGCCCCTGTTCCCATTACTAGGGACCTTGGAGACTGAGCTGCCATGTGCTACATCTGTGCAGGGGTTCTAGGTTATCTCCATGAATGGTCTTTGGTTGGAGTATCAGTCTTAGAAAAGACTCCTGGGCCTGCTTTTCTTATTTCTAAGTTCCTATCCTCAGTCTATTCTGATTTAAGAGCTCACAGTGGGTTCTTCTTTGTTGATAGGATCTTACTATATATTCTAGGCTGGCCTAGAACCTATGATCTTTTTTCTTGGCTTACAGGCCTGTGCCATGCCATTTGGGTTTATTAGAGAAATTTAAAGACTTATATAATAGATTACAATAATAAGATTCATATACCATCAATCTAACTTCACTGAGTGTTGGTACATGGTGTATTTTGTTTTACCTTTGACCCACACAGTTCCCTGTCTTTTATATTATTTTTCTCCCATAAATTAGCCCACTCCTCTGCTTGAAAAACTACCAATGGCTCCTTTTGTATGTGTGGTGTATGCACACAATGGTTCTTTCCTAAACTCAGTGAAAAAAATAAAAGATCTTACCAGGGAGATGGAAAACTATACCTGGAAGCCTTTACCAGGAGATGGCAAACTATATGGCACTAACTAAATGCAGACACTTATCTGCTTTTACATTTTTTTTTGTGTGTGGCTAGACATTAAAAACTGGTGCCTTTAATAAACTAGTAAAAATTACATGCAATTTAAATTTTAAAGTGTATAATCACTGGAATATAGGTAATTAGAACATAGCTACGTTTATTTGTTTAAATATTGTCTATGGCTGTTTTTACAGTGCAAAAGTAGTACTGAGCAACTGTGAAAAGAAACTACATGGTCTACAAAGCCTAATATATTTACTATCTTGCTATTTATAGAACAAATTTATTAGACCTTGCCCTAAACCTATAAGGCCCCATAAAATCTCTTTGATCTTCTTTTCCTAAACATTCCATTCATCCTGCTGGATACTTTCTTATTGATCAAATAGGCCAGGCACACTCCTATCTCATGGTCTTTTCAATGGCTGTTTCCTCTGTCTGGAATACTTTCATCCTAAACATCTACCAAAGTCTTTGTTCAAATATCAACTTCATAATTAGTCCTACCATACCACTTAAACTTGTAATTCATGCTCCCTGCCTCATACTTCCTACTGCCATCTACATTTTTCTTTTCACAGTACTTATCACCTTCTAACATTTTATTTAACATCTATTGTCTACCTTTAAAAAGCTAAAATATAAGCTCTACAGTGCAAAGTTCTGTTATTTCATTGGCAGAACCAAACCCTAGTATACAGTTAGGTGTATACATTCATTGAATAAATTAAATCCCTTGCACTATAGTTTGAAATAGAGATGTAGTTCAGTAGTAGAGCACTTTTTAGCATACTTGAGATCTTGGAATTAATCCCTAGCACCACTCAAAAAATAAAAATGCACAATGGCCTCAATTTAGTAAGATTTCTCTAAAATCAAGAATCTGAAATAAAAATAAGAACCAATGTTATACAGATGTGAAACCTTCTCTAGAATGTCCTATCTACCCATCTGTTCATCCATCATCCATCCATCAATCTAGTATTTATTTATATATTTATTGCCTGTTGGCCATGCTGATGTGTGGGGAAAAGCTTAGGACAAAACTAGGGAAGATAAAACTCATAAAAGAAAGAATATGGCACCTAAAGGCTGCAATGCAAACTCATGGCTGCAAAGGTTAAGGCCAATGTTTTCTCCCACCAGTTATGTTACTGATTACTAACTGGTATAAAAATAATCTTTAACAGCAAAATAGTGGGACATATGGGTACTACAATGAGGAGAATAATTAAGTTATTGAATATAGATTTAATGTCCAGTATAAATTAAATAATGACACAGAAAATATTTTGTTTCAATGGAAAATATGGATAAATTAATTTAATACTATCAGACATATATACATTTATTCAATGTACCATAAATGAATACTAACAATAGGATAAATTCACAGATGAACGGTGTATCACCTTGGCAATTAAGAGGCTCAAATAGGGAGAATAAACAGGAGATAACTTAGATAAACAAAGCCATGTGTTAGGCTAGTAGCTTATGATTTCTATTGCTGTGATAAATCACCATGACCAAAAGTAACTTGGGGAGGATAGGATTTGCTTCATCTTACAACTTGCATCCAGGGAAGTCAGGACAGGAACCCAAGGCAGAAACTGATGCAGAGGCCCTGGAGTAGTGTTGACTACTGGACTGCTCCTCATGGCTTGTTCAACCTTATTTCTTAGCACCCAGCACCATTAGCTTGGGAGTGATACCACCCATGGTGGGATGAAATATCCTGCATCAGTCATCAATCAATAAAAGGCACCACAGGCTTGTCTACAAGGCAAACTATTTAGGGGCATTTTCTCAATTGAGTTGTTTCCAAAATAACTCTAAAAGCTTGTGTCAAATTGATATAAAACTAGCCAGCAGAGTCAGTATATATCAGGGAAACATTTTTCTTTTATAAACAATAAAATATATAGTTATGATAAATAAAATGGTCCAAAATAAATTTTAAAAAGCAAGATAAGTATTCATATTTGTCAGTTGACAAATCTGCAACTTATCATGCTAAGCAGCAGTGACTAAATGAAACATCTAGAGTCACTGCCCTAAGTTATGACATTACAGACATCCCTTTCTCTGAAGGTCTGTAGGCAAAACTATTTCAACTTGTCTGCATCTTACATGCGGTACATCTATGGAATGAAAGGTCAGTCTTTCCTTTCTACTTACAAGCAGAGCCATTATATATGTTTGGAACAGAAAGTGAATTGACATTGTATCTCAGATATCTCTGAACATTACCTGTATTACCATTTGTAACATAGATGCCTATGAGAATGGTTTGTGAAAAGATGTATTTACTTTATGCATATGAACACTTTATCTGCAGATATACCTGCATGCAGATGCCAGTATAGATTGGTTAAGCCACCATGTGGTTGCTGGGAATTGAACTCAGGACCTCTGGAAGAGCAGACAGTGCCCTTAACCACTGAGACATCTCTCTAGCCCCTGAGAGTGATTTTTAAAACTAGTCACCAGGCTTTACCTATTCAGATGTACTTTCCTACATGTAAATAGTTTACAGTGCCATCTATCTAACCATTCTGCATCTTAAAGTCATTGACAGTTAATGGATGAGACTTATCAGAACATAGGGTATATATTTTATAGTTATAGCTTATTCCCACTCACAGTGAAGTCACTCAGCTTCTGAGTCCTGTTAATATATGAGCTTTGACACTAAAAGATGAAGGTTAAATATGCTATGCATATTATTTTGAGAAGGAGTCTCACTATGCTGTTCAGTCTAGCCTTGAACTCCTTAGCTGAAACGATTCTCTTCTGCCTCAATTTCCTGGGCCTAAGGTATATATCACTATTCCTGGCAACCAATATGAATGTTGAAAAGAATAGGCCACGGGTTGGAGAGATGGCTTAGGGGTTACATACATTTACTGCTCTTTGAGAGGATTTAAGTTTAATGCCCAGCACCCATGCTGGGTGGCTCACAACCTACTTGTAGCTCAATCTGCAGGGGATCCAACACTCTCTTTTGCCCTCTTGGGGGCATCCATACACATACAGATAAATAAAAATAAATCTTTGAAAAAAAAAACAAAACAGGCTAAACACTACAAAAGCAACATCGGAAAAGATTTCCACAAATGGTATATGGAATGGCAGCATCCTGCAAATGAGTAGGAAGCCTACAAGTCCTTGTGAAACAGGACACTCTTTCTGAGATCACGCATGAGTCAGGTCAACTTGGTTTTAGCTCACTTCGTCACTTCTCAAGGCACTTACCTGGATGCAAGCTCCGGTCTTCAACTTGCACAGGCTGCAAACTAAGGCCCATCGCCGAGGTGGAATATGAGAGATTTTTGTGATTGGTTCCATTCTCTCGGGACAGGCGATGCTTACCTACAAATAAAACATCATCATAAGGCAGAAGCACCAAGGCATCTCAGAAGCACTTTTCATCAACTATAAATGATGTTATATGAAGCTAAGAACATTAAAACAATGAAGTAAGCCATATCTTCCAAATTTAGTATGGAACTAAGAATAAACAAGTTCCCCCCCATCGCTCAGTCCTTCAATAATTTTTTGTAATATTTACAATTAATATGTGATGAGAGTGCAAGAGTGTAGACTATGTAGGCACGGTTACCTTTAAAAAAATCAAGATATATCCCTCTTTACTTAAAAGCTACTAAGGAAAGGAATCAAAGCTCAGAAATTCTACAATCTGTCTTAAGTTTGGGATGGTACCATACATGCCTTGCTATTTCATTTAATCAACTAAAGATAAAGACAGGCAGTGGCAGATCTTTTATATTGTTTACAGAGCAGTATATTATTGTTGGAAAGTGGCAGCAAATTTATGTAATGAAGAGACTGTAGCATGTAATTAAAAAGGAAGAAGATGATACCACTTCTAAAACCCAATCTTTAGGACTATGTCACTATTACCATTTTACCCTACTCTCTCAGCTAAAGTAGCTTCAAAGTGAAATTAAGTTTTTTGGAATGCTGAAATTTAAAAAAGATGGGAAAAATGTCTTTTCCATATGGAAACAAAGGGTCATGTAACTACTGGTAAAGAAAAAAAAACTGCTCTGATTTCTTTTTTACAACTTTATACACGCCTTTTAAATAAATAAACTTTAGATTTTTTTTTTCATTTTATTTTACATGTATAAGTGTTTTGCCTGTGTGTGTCTGTTAACCAAATGCATAAAGGCCAGAAGACGACACTGGATTCTCTGGGAGTGGAGTTACAGATGGTTGTGAGCTACTATGTGGGTGCTGGGAGTTGAACCTAGGTCTTCTGGAAGAGTAGCCAGTACTCTCAATCCCTGGATGATCTCTCTAGCACCAAAAAGAAACACGTTTTAAAAAGTGAGTAACTATCAAACAAAGATGATTCTTCTAGTTCAAGTTCTGTCCTGATCAGGAAAAAGAGCTCTTTAATAATTAAAAAATGTATTGGAAATCAAGAATTAGAAGTCTTAGAGAAAGTTAATTAACTGTAAAGTTTTTTTTTTTAATTTTTGTTTATTTTTTAAGATAGGGTCTATATAGCCCAGGGTGGCCTTTAACTCATGATCTTATTCTAGCCCTTTAAGTGCTGTGATCATTGGCGAATTGTTTTATTTTTATGTGCGTGGTGTTAGGGATCAAGCCTAGGCCTTGCACGTGCTTAGTAAATACTCTGAGCTATATACCCCAGCTCTTGTTTTTTGTCTGTTTGAGACAAGGTCTCACTATAGCTTAGGTTAGCCTTGAGATTGCTATGGAGCCCAGGCTGGCTTGAACTTTTGATTATCCTGCCTTTCCATCCAAATATGCAAGATTTATAGGCATATGATACCAGCCGTGGCTTCAACTTTTTAAAAAAAATATTCACTTTATATCCTGATTGCAGCCCCCTCCCTCATCTCATCCTTGTTCTGCCCTTCCTTTGTCTTCTCCCTCTATAGCTCTCCCCTACTCCTCAGGAAGTGAGTCTTCTTCCCCTACCAAATGACCCCAGTCTATCAAGTTTCATCAAGACTGCCTGTATCTTCTTCCTCTGTGGCCTAGCAAGGCCACTCTGCCAGGGGGAAGTGCTCAAAGGGCAGGCAACCGAGTTCGTGTTAGAGATAGTTCCTGTTTCCCTTACTGGGGAACCCACATGGAGCCTGAGCTGTCTATTGGCAACATCTGAGCAGGGGGCCTAAGTCCTCTCCATGTATGGTCCTTGGCTTGTGCATCAGCCTCCTGGGCCCTCCTGGGCCCAGATTTGTTGGTCTTCTTGTGGAGCTCCTGTCCCCTCCAGATCCTTCTATTTCCCCCGTATTCCATAAGTCTCCCTGCGCTGGAGAGTTGCCTTGCTCATGTTAGGTAAATAGTCTACCACTTACTACACCCTATCCCAAACTGTAGGGTTTTTTTTTTTGTTTGTTTGTTTGTAGGGTCTAGCTAGTTTTCAGTTCACTGCACATCTCCAAAATGGCTTCCAGATCTCACTCCTCCTTCCTTAGCCTCCTAAATATAGGGATTATAGTAATGTACTACTATGCTCAGTTTAGAAGCCATGTTGCAATTAAATTAATAAAGAATAGCCCCTCAATAATTACTTGCAACTAAAGGACACGGTAAATAACAAGGAATAGAATTTTGAATCTTAGGTAAATGTTGAGTTTAAGCCCCCAAAAGAACTTTATAAATAAAAGACAACTAGGTGTGGAGCTCTTAATAGCGGAATTTGGGAGGCAGAGGCAGGTGGATTTTTGTGAGTTTCAGGGTAGCTAGTCAATAATATCGTGAGACCCTGTCTTTTAAATGTAACAAACAAACAAACAAACAAACAAACAAACAAACAAACAAAGTAAAGGACAACCACCATTGCTCACTTTATTTGTAACAGCTTAAAATCAGAGATGCAAAGCAGAACGGATAAATAGTATATCTATATAATGGTAAACTACTAAGCAATGTAAATGATGTACTACTGATACATACTACAACATGCAGTACTAGCCAGACAGAAAAGAATACTTACTCTATGAATTCCAATTACATGAAGCTTAAAAACAGACAAAACTTATCTATAGTGATAGAAATTAAAATGGTTGATTCTCAGGAAATAGAGAAAGAAAGGGATGTAAGGGAGCCTTCCAGGATGCTATTTGTATATTTCTGTGGTATTTAATGTTTTATTCTGATTTGTGGTTACAGGTATTTTAAGGTAAGCTTTACTTTAAAACTGTTGTCTCTCACACCTTTTTTTAAAAAAGTAATTTATCTTACAAATAGTAAATCATTTTTAAAATATTTTAAATTGTGCATATATGGGTGTATGTGTGTGCAGGTGCCAGAGGTCATCAATTCTCTGGCAGGTGGCGTTATAAGCGGTTAGTCATGAGCTGCTTGACATGGTGCTGGGAATGGAAACTGGTATTTGCTCCTAATAGATCAGCTACCTCCAGCTCCACACCCTTGTCTTTTATGCTTCCTCTCTCATACAAATTTAACAAATACCACTGAAAGTATCACGAATAAATACACAAGTCTGGGCTAACATGCAAAGTTGTGTCCAAGAAGACCTGAGATAGCACAGGAATCTCAGAAATACAATTGAGCAGGAAGCATTTCCACTTACCTCAGGAATCCACAAGGCACAGCTGACATGAGCCCATTTGTTCCCGGTCCTGGTGGTCTTCATGGCTCCACCTTTCTTAGGGCATAAAACACACTGTGGATAAATGCCCAGGACACAGGAGCGACACAGCCAGCTGCCTTCTGGAATCTTGAGGATACCATAGCATGCCTATACATAGGCATGAGGAAGAGAGGGAAGAATGATCAGTATATTTCTATTAGCCTTAACAACTGCCAGAATCCTCTCTGTTTTTGGGAGAAAGACAAATATATCTCAACAAGCTCATATCCAGGATTTAGTAATTTTTAAACTCTAAAAAAAAAAAATCATGCTTGTAGTAGCATCTGAACCAAGATTAGCATAGGAAAGTGTAGGTAGCTATGGGAACTTTAAGGAAGAGAGAAAAAGACTAGGTGGTGATTCACTCCAAGGTTAACCCAATTACTGAGAGTTGGACTGTAGACAGTTTTCTTTTTTAAATTTTACTGAAAATAATGTTTCCTGTTTTCCAAACTGTCTTTAGTGTTTATATAACAGGTTAGCTAAGCAATAATGGAATAACTTCAACATGTGAGGTACTATTGTGATCAAGAAAAAAATGTTGGAAAAAAGTGAAACTTATGAAGTACAAACAAGTTAATGTTTATAAAGAGTCTAATAGTACCTGGTACATAAAAATCATTCAGTAAATTATGTAAATTATTTGCTTGATTTGAATAAAAAGTCGACTTGTGAATTGAATTTCAATAATCCATAGTGAGTTCTGGGGCCTTTTCAATTCTTTATGGAATGATATTGGAAAATAAATGAATAACTCAGAAATGGAAGATTATTTAAATATTATTCTAGATGGCCCCATATTCAATTTTGTCCATTTCCCCCTTTATTGTTCTACTTTATTTCAGAAGAAACATAGGTGCCTCTAGGTTCCCCACATGGCCAAATATATCCTACACCATCAACTGTTTCAACCTACCAGTTCTAAAATTTCTGTGGGTTCCAAGAGAGCCACACTTAGGTAAGATTTATTATGAGTTATCACCATCCATTTCTATTCTTTTTCTTTCCATTTCATACTATGCTTCCTTTTTCATCTCTCAGACCAAATTCCTAGACTTTTATTACCCACTTAACTTCATGCACTGGCCCCCTGTACTTACACTTGCTTCTTATACTGAGGCTCAGAGGCTGAACTTCCTTTTGTTCCCCATCCATACCACTATTGCCTCCATCCAATTCCTTGTCACACTATTCTAGGATGGATTTATTTCTAAATTTGTTTACTCATTCTTTACATCTTTAACCTTCCTCTATTTAATTATCAGATTCTTCTCAGTAAAATCAAGTACAGCAGCAAATCATCCAGGGCCTTTTTCCTGTTCTTATCTTATTTGCCCACCCATCATCTAAACTAGGTGTTGGTTACTGCTTAAGACTTGTTTTGTAAGGCTAACAAACTGGGAATGCATTTTATATTTTAAAGAGTCCAAAAAAGAAACAAACAAACAAACAAACAAAACAAACAAACCATGATGCATCTGGCAAAGTCTGAAGTGTTTCTGACCCTTTAGAAAAACGTTTGCTGTCCTGTGATCTGAAGTTTGCACCTTACTATTTATCACCTCCCATCACAGTTAAATACATGGTATCCAATTTGTTTAGGCAGGTGTCCCAGTTTTCTACATAACTGTCCACTCTGGTTCTCATGTCCATGTGTCTTGCTAGGCAGTTTCCCTAATCATCTTCCTTTTGTATAGTTAAGACACTCCTTACTTCCCATACCTGGATTAAACTCTAGCCCACACTCCCAAATTTCACTCAGGTTATGGTGTCCTCTTGGACCTGCCCTACTGCCTGACTCCCATCCTTTATTTCATGTGATTTCCCTCATCAACTACACAGTCATCATCGGTATTGTACTCTCCTCATTTTGTTCTTGTGCTTCATACCCTTAGTGAGAATGGAAAGTCACTAGCCATAGCATTCACCACTGATTTATCTCAAATGCCCCTTCCCACTGCTTACTTTGAGTAGGTGTGTTGTGAGAACTAATAATTTGGCTTAAGACCCTAAGCCAGACTTCCAACTAGACTGCTCTCATATGAGTAGAACATAATTTTATATGCTTCCTATCTTTGAAACCCTATTTTTCTCTGAGACCTAGAATGTTGCCAGGGAAGGACAAAAAATTCCTCCCCAAAATAAAGCCTTTTTGAAGCAGTTGTTGGTTCTAAGAATGTTCTTGGCCTTTCTATGGAGCACAAATAGTTTACAGAGTGAGCCCCTTTATAGATAATAGGCATAAGCTCACAAAAGCTTATATATCAGTGATTCTCAACTTTCTACTAATCACAAATGCTGAAGGTTGTGAGTTCTGCTAAAAAATAGCATGTGTGTGCTAATATTTTTTAAGCATAATTTTAGGATGTTAGACTCAGGGTCAACAACATTCATGAGAGGTATAAAAACTCCAAGAGCATGTGACATTAGTCAAATTCAATCCAATATCAATCTAAATATTCAACTTCTAAGAAGTAGAAATGGATATACACAAGAGGACTTGGAATACTTTTCTTTATTTCCTTCCTTCCTTCTTTCTGTTTGTTTTTTGAGATAGGGTTTCCCTGTGTAGCCTTGACTGTCCTGGACTCACTTGTAGTCCAGGCTGGCTTCGACCTCAAAGTGATCCACCTGCCTCTGCTTCCCTCAGTGTTGGTATTACAGGCCTGAACCACTGTGCCCAGCTCTTGGAATGGTTTTAACTTTCACATACTTTTAAAGAAAAAAAAAAATCAAGATTTATGATATTAAAATCTAAAGTCTACTGGTACAAACTTCTAAAATATGAATATATTATTGTCACTGAAGAAGAAATAATGAACATGATATGGTAAATTATGTTGAATCAATCTAGATACCAATATAGGTTTTCAGAGTAAACCTATATTCTATATTATCATTTAAGTCAACAGAGGGAGCTCTAACCTAAGTAGTTATTTATGATCCAAATTATACCCACTTTATAGGAATCTCAGTATTTTATTCATATACTTCCTGTTTTCTTTCTGAGACAGATATATTTATCTCTATCCCAGATTGGCTCACCAAACTCATGAATCTCCTGCCTCAATTATACTGCCATACCCAGCTTGGAAGTTATTTTAATGAAATGTCATATTGTAGTAAATTCCCAGCATCTACATTTACCAGTTTATAGTCTGGCAAGGCTATTGCCAATGTGTAAGAGGGCTATCATTTATAGGTATATTTCTAAAACAAATGCCATAATTTTTTAAGTGGGGGATTATTAATGTAACAGTTAATTCTGTTAGTCAATGAACTTGAAAATAACTCTTAATAATTTTCCCTAATTGAAAAAGACAAACATAGAAAATATATACAGATGACCTCTGTCTTATTTCTTTCAAGCCTACTATAGATTCAATCATTATCTGAAAATTCTTTAATAAGAAACATGAAGTTCAGAACTGTTCAGATCTTAGAAATATACATGGTATATTATATAAGCTCAGTGGGACCAGGGAAAATACCATACAATATGTTAGTATTTCTCTAAAAAAATAAGAGTATTTGCATAAATGGGTAAAAAGTATAAACAGCTTCATATTAGCTAAGTTCTGGTATTGTTCCCAAATCATTTCTGGTTCAGAATTTCAGATAAAAGTGAAATCTTCAAAAAAAAAAGTGAAATCTTTAGAAGTTTCTAATTTTAGAATTAATTTTATGAGAGGACCTCTCAGATTCTTTAAGTTCATAATCAAGCTATAAGTTTCTACTGAAAATATAATGCAAATACCAATAATTGATACAATGAAGATAAAATTTCCAAATTCACTAACAGATATAACTAAATGAAGGAAAAGCTAAATTGGTGTGGTGGTCTAAATAATAATGGCCCCATAGGTTCATATATTTGAATATTTAGTCACCAGAGAATGGCACTATTTGAAAGGATAGAAGGATTAGGAGGTGTGGCCTTGTTGAAGGAAGTGTCTCACTTAGAAGTGGGCTTTGAGGTTTCAAAAGCCCATGCCAAGCCCACAGTCTCTCTCTCTCTGCCTACAGATGAGGATATATCTCTTAGCTAATGTTCTAGTGCCTGCCTGCCTGCCACCATGTTCCCTGTCATGATGATATTGGCAATAAAGAGTTGCCTTGGTCATGGTGTCTCTTCACAACATTAGAATAGTGATTAAGATAATTGGTGACAACAATTCTGACTTCTTCCTACAATACAGAAGGTTAAGGTTAGGTGGCCCAGAGAAGTCTGAAGTCCAGGTTGTTTTCTATCCCCTATGTTGTGCAGGCTCATTATTCTAGTTTTGACCAAAATGATCTTTCTAGAATACAAATATCCTTTTAGGGTTGATGGGATAAATCAGAAGTTTATGAGTTTTGTTAGAAGATCCTTCACGTGTGCTTTTTTTCTCCTTCCTTATGCGTATCTTCTTGGCTTTTTCCTACTCTACTCATTCATTCTTAAAGTACTCATCGATACTTCCGACATATTTTACCTACTCTTGGCTACTCTCCATGAACATATTCTCTTCTGACTGAACAGACCTTTCTGGTTTAACTGACATCTGTTTTTAGTCATTAAGATTCAGCATGGGTGCTACTTGCTGGAAGTTGTTTTTCACCTTTATCTCTTCCATGCTTTACCACAGCAGCATGGATTTATAATCTATAAAAGCACCTAGACACTATGGTAAATTGACAGCTTCTTTTTAGTCATTACACTTTGGTTGTCCTGGGGTGGGGGGCAGAAAGCATATCTGGCTCTTCATCACTGTGTTACCATAACGCAACACAGTCCTGTGTGTTTAGTATGTATACAGTATTTGATAGATAAATTAATAATAATAATATGAATAAAATATACAACATGTTCAGAAGAGTAAAAAACCAGTTAGGTAAGAGAAATCAAGAACTGAAATGAATACAGCTTGGAAGATATGAACACACTGATAACTTAAGGTAGAATACAAGATTGTGTATGGGTATCCTTATGGGTACATGGGTGTTTGTTCATGTGTGTGGAAGTCAGAGGTCAATGCTGAATGTCTCCTCAATTGCTCTCTACCTTGCTTATTGAATTGGGGTCTCTCAATGGATTTGGAGCTTGAGTTGCCTAGGCTGGCTGGCAAGCAAGTAACAGCAAACCTCCTGTCTGTGCCTCTGCATTTGCAGAGCTGGGGATACAGATGTATGGCTTTGCTTTTCAGTTCTCTATATGTGTTTTGGGAATTCAGGTTCTCATGCTTTGGCAGCAAATACTTCACAATTTAAGAAGAGATTTTTAAATTCAGACAATGGCTATAAAATGGAGACAGGAGAGTGTTAGCAATATTCATCACTGTACCTCAAGAGACCTTGTTTCAAGAGAGCACAGAACATAGGATTATGGACAAAAGTTGAAATGAGTGCTGATATCACTAACATTATCATCAATAATATGATAGTGTGGTAGAAAGTATTTCAAATAACTAACTTAAGTAAAGTCACATAATCTTTACTTACATTGTAAAACCAAGGCATTAAAACAGTCCTTTAGAGTCCTAGAATCCTGTGGGTTCTGAAAGTAGGGTTGACCTAGGTTTCTGGGAATAGTACATAGGGAGGCCTTGGGTATTAAAATAAGAAATCTTGCCTTCTATTTAAAGGTTACTGATCATGAGTTAGGGATAATGCCCTAGAGATTCTACAGCAGAAAAAAAATCTTCAACAGAGGAGATTCTCCTAGGCAAGAAGCATAGGGACTTCCGTGGGTAAATCAAATGAAACAATCTCAGTGGTCTGGACAAGAAGTGACACAATAAAAACCTAGGTTTAACATCTCAGGAACAGGTCGTAAAGCAGCTATCCCTGAGATGTTAAACCTAGAAGTAGTGTTTCTAGAGTACTAAAGTACTAAAGAACAGCAGAGCCTAATTTTTTATTTTCACCTTTAAATGTAAGACATTGCCCAGATATGGGTGTTAGAAATAGTAATTACTGAACTTCAAATATTCTGATTGGTGGTTCATCAGGTAAGGACACTTGAGCCAAGCCTGATGATCTGAGTTTAACACGCTGAATCCCAACACTAGAAGAATCAATACCTAAAAGTTTTGTTTTGACTTTGACACTAATGTTGACCTTGTATGAGGCAATGTTCTCCATTTGCACTAACCTGATGCACACAGACATTACACTTATCGCAAAATACCATATCATTCCCTTCTTCACTGTCTGGAGACTGGCAGACATCACAAATCACATCTTCATCATATTCTATTCCTAGACCTTCCTCTGTCTCAATAGCATGGTTCATATTTTCATGGCAGAGGCGTTCCAGGACTTCTATTGTCTTTTCCATAAGAGTCTCATCAATTGGTCCATAACCTGCAAAGAAATAAAAAAGGCAACACATCAGTCAGCTGTCATTCCCAAACCACCTACTGCAGGGATAGAGAGAACACTAAAAGATAAATCTATTTTTTTCTCTGATCTAAAGCAACTAGATTTCAAAGATTTTTTTTTTTTAGGATTTTTTTTTCTTCTTCTTCTGAGACAGGGTTTCTCTGTATAGCCTTGGCTGCCTTGGACTCGCTTTGTAGATCAAGCTGGCGTTGAACTCACAGAGATCCACCTCCATCTGCCTCCCCGAGTGCTGAGATTATAGGCGTATGTCACTGTGCCCGGCTTCAAGGAAGTTTTAAGTAGAGAAAGTCTAACATCAATAACAATAAAATTAGTGTTTGATACATTAATAAAGAAATACATTTTACCGCATTTTCTTAAAAGATTACAGAGCCTTTCATTTGTTTTTCTAAATTTTAGTCAGGGGGCTAGTGAGGTGACTCAGTATGTAAAGACATTTGCTGCTAAGTCTGATGACTTGATATTAATCCTTGGGAGCCACATGGTAGAAGGAGAGAATCGACTCTCAAGGAGAGAATCGACTCTCAAAAGTTCTTCTTCACACACATGCCACATGAGATGTGATATATATATAATTAAAAAATAAATTCTTATCACTCTCCTGCTAAAACCTTAATCTATTTTCTTATTCCCACTATAAGACCAACAATTGTAACTTTGAACACTTTAATTTGTTAGCATATTAAATCTCTTATTTTTTGAACACAAATAATGTATTATTAGCAAATTAGCTTCATTGAGAACACCTAATGATTATACTAAGAATTTTTAAAGAATTTTTAATATACTATATTAATTCATAGAAGAAAATTATAGGTAATAGGTATACATGACTATGTATATAAAATACTGATTTTCAAACCTGATTTTAAAAAATCCATACCATTTTTTAATGACAAATAGTAACAGAAACCTACTAGTATTCACAAAGTTTTGAATGTAATTCTGAAATTCTCCTTTTGTTTCTGAATCCTTTTTTTTAATACTTACATTTTTTCCCTCACATTCCACATTTAACCCAACTAAAATATTCATAGAGTTCATGTTGGTTAAAACAAAATACTTTTCTTTTTAAAGAGGATCAATGATTTTGGGGGGGCAGCATATATTTGAATAATTTTCAAAATGATCCACAATAGCTTTACCAAATGATATTTTTAATATAAGACCTCATAACGAACATTCAAATCTGTATAAATTACCTTTTAAATTTTGTATCTACTTATGAAGCAAAATTTTTTCTCAGGTTTATTTTTCAGTTAAGACATATCATATGTACATATACACATATATACACTTACTACACAAACACACATATATGCATATATTACATACATACATAGATATGTAGGACCAAAGAGTATAGTATTTAGTCTGGGTATGTACCCAAAGAACTCTATAATCCATATATGGATATTTGTATATCCATGTTTATTTTTCTGCTCCATTGACAATAGCAAGGAAATAGAATCTGCCTAAACAAATGCCCAACAGATGGATTATAAAAATATAGTACATGTATACAGTATAACTTTATCAAGCCATAAAGAAAAATGAAATTCACAAGAAAATGTATGGAGCTGGAAAATATTATATTAAAGTGAGGTGTCAGAAATGTAAATACTATGTTCTCGCTCATATGTGGAGCCTAGAGTCTAATTTTAATATAACTATATTTATGTTAGAGTGATTATGTATAGAGGGCAGAAAAATAGAAACACACCTATAAGAGGAGAAAAAAAAGAAGCCTTAATTTAAAGAGAAGAATAGGAAAGGTAAAGAAACACATGAGATTTGAAAACAGAAGGGAGAATACTGAGAATGGAAGAGTTTAAAAGTGGGAAGTGGGGAGATGAGGGACTGGAGACAGGGTCAACCAAAACTCAGTATGTAGAAAATATAACAGAGAAACTTTCTACCTTGAAAGCTAATTTTAAAAAGTGGAGTTATCATGTCTAGTTATAAGAACTTGAATTCAAATTCCAACTTTATCTCATATTAGCTATGTAACATTTTTATCTTACTGTTCTTACCTATAAAATAAGAATATTATCAAATTCATTATCTTATGAGGATGGGATGTTTGCAAATTGCTTAGTGTGGTATGCAGTATGAAGTCAGCATACACATTTAAAATTATTTAATTTGAGCAAAACTGCTTAATTTAATATTATCTATCTATCTATCTATCTATCTATCTATCTATCTATCTATCTATCTATCTATCT